TAAACAATACCCTCCCCTTGGGTGGGTTAGCGCCCTGTGCCCCCGCTACCCATTTCTTCCTTATCTTCATCATTTTTCCCTTTCCGCACCTCCCCCGGGGAGCAGGTCCTTCCTGACAGGTGACTGCGCTCTCTCTAGCCTCGAGGCTTCCTGCATCGGGGTTTTTCACCCTTAGAGTCTTGAAAAGTCGCCCCTCAAGGCTTGAATATTTTTCTTCGCTTCTTTCAGCTTGAGGTAGGCCAAGCCTGGTCTTCCTTTTGGGCTCCAGCCCCACGGCCGGTCACGTTTCATTAGAGCACCGTATCTGCTCAGGTTGCCCGCTTCCCCTCGTCATTTCCTCCGCTTGCTTCAGCTCGTGTGTGCGCAGCACCAAGTCTCCGTGCCGTGCCTGACACCCACTGTGGTCTTTTCTTCCCTGCCTTTCCCACACCGCTGGCTTCCTTGTGGGCTGCGTGATGGGCTTGATGTCCTCCCGCCGCTCACCCCGTCTTCCCTTGTCCGTGTTCCGGGGCCCACTCTGGGGAGACGTCTCGAAGCTCACGGGGGACAGACTCAAGGTTGCGTGCTTCCATTCGTGTTCTTCAACCTCAACCTGAATTACCCGGAGCCATGGGTGGTCTGCTCCGCCGTCGGCCCCGGCCGCGTTTTGGCTACTGGCCCTGAGCTCCTCCATCACTTCTTCCCAGGTGGGGTCTGGGTGTTAGGCCGGAGAGAGCCACTTGCGGAGACGAGGTTGGTCTAGCAGCTAACTTCCCCTTTGTTGCCAACTTTTGTGTTCGAGTCACTGTGGTTATCAGTGCTTCCTGAGTCACGTGGGGGCAGCTGCCAGCCGATGGAGTTCATGTGATTGTTCGGTTTCTTATCCCTGACTCGGGCGGAGGGCGTGTGAATCGGAGCCCTAGTTGTCAAACAGATGCCCCTGTCACAGACAGCGTTCCCTGCCAGGTGGATCTCGAGGCGCGCTCTTCGATGAAGGAGGCCACGCCGTGCCCCTCCGATCTGTTGTGGCTAGCAGGGTAGACCCTGCGACGGCTTCCTGGTGAAAAGGGCCTGGATGGCGAGATTCATGTGTCCATTCCTAGTTGACAGCCTGCCGTTTCCCGGATCCAGGCTCAGTGTGCTCCACGTTCCAGGGCTTATTAAGAATAGACGTGGGCAGCTGTTCGTCCTCCTGCTGCGTCACCCGTCAGCCAGGGAAGGGCTGGGGAGCTTTGCTCCACCGAGTCACGGGCAAACTCCCCGTGGAGAAGCAGCCCTTTCTCGGTGGTGTTGTGAGGGCCCGTCTTCCGGCACTGGATTCCACAGTGTTCCACTGCTCTTCCAAGGTTTTCAGTGCGGATTCCTCGGAAGTGGGCGGCCTGAGTCTTCCCCGTTGTCTGTTCCTAGTCTGGAAGCTCTGCCAAAACCTGGCGACCCTGCTGGTGTTGGAAGTACCAGCGATGCAGCGTCCAGCAAGCAGACTGGTGGTGGGTGTGCAGGCCCAGACGGAGGCCATGTTGGGAAACGAGCTGCCCGTTGATACTTTTGTTCCAATGTCACGTGCACTGGGCAAGTCTGCTGCACAAGGCCTCCTGACAGTGTCGAAAAGCAGGGAGGGGACTCTGAGGACTAGGGGTGCCTGACCCGAGCCAGGGTGTTTTCAATTGGCCCCCACCCCTGTGAAAGGTGGATACTGACCAAAGGGGCCGAAGAAGAATCAGTGTGTTTGAAGTGTGTTGCTGGCGACGAACTTCCAAAGTCCCGTGGACTGGCAGAGCAATCAGACCTGTGTCGGAGGAAGTCCAGGAAGAATGCTCCTCAGAGGCAAGGATGGTGAGCCTCGGCCTCACGGACTTTGGGCCTGTCAGGAGAGACCAGTCCCTGGAGAGGGACATCCTGCTTGGTAAAGCAGAGGCCAGCAGAAAGGAGGAAGGCCCCCCACGAGATGGACAAGCACTGGGCTCAGACGCGGGCACAGTCGTGCGGACGGCGCGGGCTCCACACGGGGCTCTGATCCGTGCATGAGGTAGCTGTGAGCTGGAACTGGCTGGACGGCACCACACAACACCATGGGGATTGGGGGCCTCGGCTCATACACCATTCAGTCGGTCGCTGTTCTTGGGCGTCCCTGTGCGGTGGGGGCGTAACTACTCCCTCCCTTCACCCTGTGCCAGCTTCTACCAGCGGAAGGCGGCGGTGCACGCGGCGCTGTGTGACAACGTGGACACACGCACGGCCCTGGAGGAGATGCGGGCCCTGGTCGGCCAGTGCAACCTGTACATCGCGGCCCGGAAGGCGGCCCGCCGGCGGCCCAACCGTGCCCTACTGCAGAGTGCCGGCCTCTACCTCACACACATGCTCAGGGTGAGCCCTTACCCCGCTCCCTGCTTCCTGAAGGCTGTGCCCTTGAGCCTGGCCCGCCCACCTCGGTCACAGTGTGCGTGGCACCCAAGGGCCCTGGGTCTCAGTGCTGCCCCCTGCCTCCTCCCTGTAGATCTTCGGGGCCATCGAAGAAGACGGATCAATGGGCTTCCCGGTTGGAGGACGTGGGCCCAGCCTAGATGTGAGCACAGCAGCTGGGGTCCTGGGAGCCTTCCCTCTGGCGATTGAGACACCAGTCGGCAAGGAGACCATGCTCAAGCCCACACTTTTCTATCGAGCCTGGTGGCTGACCTTTACCCTTGGGGCCACTGATCCAGAGAGGACACCCTCACCTGCCATGCTGCCTGCCGGCCCTGTCCTCATGCACTGACAGGTGGCCCTCCCGCACAGG